GGGGGGGGTAACAGAAGCTTTCAAGCTGCTGCGGAACAGTCCGGAAGCAACAGTCCTCCCGAGATGCTCTCTAACTCAGCAGTGGCTGGACAGAATGTTGAAGAAGTGGTAGACGTCGTCCTTGTCCAGCACGGCCACCTCTGTGGAGCACTCGGAGCACCGCACCGGATAGTAAACCTCGTCCTCATCCATCCCGACGGGCGCCGCCGCGTCATCTTTCCTGCGTTTCCTGTTGCGCGACGTCCTGTCCGCTTGCTTCTTGTAGCGCAGAACTTGCTCCTTGTTCACGCTGCAGTTCATGACGAACATGGCGCGGTACTGCGTGCGGTACTTCTCGTGTCTGCGTGGAGACCCGTGCATCAAAATCTGCCCGTGTGCAGGCAAGAGTGAGCGTGCGCACGTTCATACGCGTGTGCTTAATGTACGTCTGCGCGTGTGTGAGTGCATTCGTAGACATCCACTGGACATGTGCCCGTGTTGTCTGTGTCAAGTGTTTATGCGTACGTGTAGATGTACGTGTGTGTGTGTGTGTGTGTGTGTGTGTGTGTGTGTGTGTGTGTGTTCTCACCGCTGACAGTCAAGACAAAGCGTGGTCATGCACGCGGGACAGTTGAGGACAGCGTCGCTACTGGGAAGACTCTTGGGTTGCAAGCGCCGCGAGTGAGCAAGCGTCGTCGGGCGCTTCCTGTGATACCTGCAGGTGGGCGGGGACAGCCAGCGTGACCACAAACGTGTTCAAAGCCGGGGCGACGGGCCGGACGCTCTTACCCGCGCCGCCTGGCGTCGACCCAGGCCTGGTCCCGCTCGTCGGCGTCGGGGTCGTACAGCAGCTCGTCATTGGTCAGGACGCGCCGCCCGGCGGAACCGCCTGTGCGCAGTCCTGTGTTTAAAGCCCCATTTTGGCTGGCGGGCAAAATAATGCTTCCAAAGTATTTTTAAAAATATACGCAGAGTATCTATATTTGTTGGAGAAGGTGCCCAAAGCAAGGCTGATATTTATTGTTCTCTCCTTTGGTTGTATGGCTTGCTGCTCTTACTGGGCTTGTCGTCTTCGTCTTCGTCGGAGTCAAAGTAGATCTTGTCGTACGTCTGAGGCTCGGAACGCGTTGAGCTGTCAACTCCGCTTCCGGAACCTTCCGCTGGATTTGACGTGGATCGGTAGTGTCAGAAATAGAAGCAAACAAGGGAACGTGCATTCATTCATTCAAATTCTGTCCTGGCATCAGTGACCTTTGGGTAGCCCGACACAATGACGCAGTGGCCTCAAGGCGCCTTTCATTCGGCAACTCCGTCAATGTCAGAGCGGCGCAGAAGGAGCTTTGTCCACAAGAGAGAGCTCTCACTGCATTCAATCAAATAAGCGTCTCGAGTTTCAAAACGTATGTATCGTTGCTTGCATTACGGGATCAAAAAGGGGCGTGATCTCATTCATTCCATATTTGGTACATTACGCACTTAGGGTTTGGTTTTGTTTTTATGGCCAAACATTGGGATGCGCCTTCAAGACTCGATATCGGGGGGGCGGCGGTTACGATGCGGACCTGTGCGAGCGGGCGCCCAGGTGTTCTCCATGGTCCTGAGGGTGGAGCTGAGCTCGGCCTCCATCTCCTTCTCAAAGTCATCGTCGCTGGACGACTCGCTCTCGCCCGTCAGGTACTCTCGGATCAGCTTCTTCTTCTGCTCCGGGGTGCCGCTCAGCAGCACGTCCAGCTCGTCCTCCGAACTACCGCAAAAAATACAAGTGCTTCATCAGTGCAACCTTGGTTGGAACATATATACACTGTCTAAACTATATATACACACACTTATATTCTATTTACCTTTTCTTAAATTCGCCACACCAAATGTATTATGTTTACAGAAGCACAGACAACGGGGGAAATTGAAAATCGTGCCGCAATGTGGCGTGATGATGGCTGGCAACCAGTTGAAGGGATTAATCAAAAAGAGATCAATGAACCCGTCAGACGTTTCACTGCTTGAAAAGGCGAGGTGACAAGTGCACACATATACACCGGATTTCGACAACTTGGAGCCAACGGCGGCAGAAGTCGAAACCCCGAAAGCGTGTTGCTTGTTTACATGTTAGCCGGCGGCTAGGTTAGCGCTGGGCTAAGCTACAACTAACAAAAACGCAAGACGAGTTGGCGAATAACCTGCTTGCTGCTCTCTCCTCGTCGCTCGGCTCCTCGATTTCATACGAGTCGACATCGCTGCAGTTGTTCATGTTGCTACTCGTTCCAACGAGATGTTGACGGAGAGAAGCGTTCGCGTTCAGCCGCAAAGGAACGACGACCACTTCCGCCCTTTTCTTCTTCTACTACGAAATGCGGCGGCCGCGGCGACTCCAACTACTACTACTACCTACTACTCCTACGACTACAGTACTACGACTACTACGACTACTTCTTCTTCTTCTCCTTCTTTATAAAACAATTTATAGTTTAAAAAGTGATCGAATTTCCTACTACTACTACGACTACTTCTTCTTCTTCTCCTTCTTGATAAAACAATTTCTAGTTTAAAAAGTGATCGAATTTTCATTTCGATGTGCATGAAATTGGCATGAATTCAAATGACAGTTTCAATTTAGGCGTGTATTCCAGTACACGCTTTTTACCAGATCATTACATCATGTAATTTATGGATGCAAAAACCATTCTTGAAAAATGAAAAGCAGAAGTCATGAACAAAACATACAAAAACGGTAGATGAATGAATAATAACTAAAAATAAAAAATAAATGTCTGTGAAACTGCAGTTCTTAGAGACTGCCACCAGGTAATCATGGCATTGAATGATAGCTGTCGTTTTAGCAGTGTGAATACGCAGATAAAGAGCGTCTTATTACAATGTTGATTTTTGACGCGTCCACCTCTGCGGCCTTGCAACAAACTCATTCAGCCAATTAGACGCAGGTGTGATGTTAATTAGCCAGACGGTGTGCGGAGGAGGCAAAAATATCAGAATCCCGCACATCTGGACAGGCGCAGCCGGCCTGCCTGTCTCTCACGCTGGGGGACACACCGACGCACCGAGAGAGGGAGAGAGAGACACACAACTCCATGCTCTCCTTCCTCTGACTTGTTTAATCCATGTGCTGCAGTCGATCTAAATAAGTTTATATAACGCCACATACAATTTTACAAAAATTGTAAAAGTATTATTCCTGAATATTTATTTCACTTTCAACCACTCGACATGTTCAGTGGCATCAGTGCTATACATACACATATAGTTCTTATTTTTTTCTTTGTATTTTTGCCCTCTATGGACAATAAAAGCGGTATTGTGCTATGACCAAAACATAAATATAAATCTATATCAATAAAACATGAATTGGAATATTTCATATCACACACTTTTTATGCTGTGTCTTTGATTTAAAGATGACGTGATGAAGAATACGCAAAAATCTACAAAAATTGTAGAAATTGTAACATATGGGGTAACCCATGTGTTACAAACATCGTAGAAATTGCAGCACAAGGGTTACATCTGTAAGAAAAACACATTCAGCGTGAGACCTCATTCCCTCATTTGTTTGTTCATCAATACAATCCTAGTTTCGACCGTATGTTGGTCTCTCTGGCGTTGCTGTGTTCGCTCGTGGATGAACAAGAAATTGTTTCAATGTTTCGAATTACCCGAACATCGATGCTAAATTTGCTCGCTCGTGTATGTCGCTTTGCATTATATGTTAGCATTAAGCTAGTGGACGAAAAATATTTTGGGGAGAAACATGTCCCACAAAGTCCGGGGGAATAGTTACGTCCTTCCACAAGGTTTGCATGCTTTTTTTTTTATCTGTGCACGTATGGCAGTCCACTTGTTCTTTGAAGACGTGCATGTCGGAGAACATGTGTGACATGTAACGTGTTCTCAGCTAGGTGAGGGAGTAGGAGGACAGCACCCCCCACACCGTCCCGCCCCACTCCACCTGTTGGCCGGCTGAGAGACGTGCACTTTCATTATCTTCTACCACCTCACATGTCACATGTCAGCACACAAGCACACATGCATGGGCGCCATCTCCTCCTTCACCAAGATCTGTGTGGAGGTTATTATCGGATCGGTCGGCAGCGGACTGCGCTCGATCACACGCGTGTGCGTGTGTGTGCGTGCGTGTGTGTGTGTGTGTGTGTGTGTGTGTGTGTGTGTGTTCTTCATTCAAACGTGTCCCCCATGGTCACAGGACATATTAATCATGCCAAGACAGCAACTCACCTTTTTCAAGATACGAAACATTGTTTGGTCTGTTTTTTCTTTTTTTTTTTCTTTTTTTAACACTCATACCCAATTGAGGAATTTGGCAAGCCGTTAGCTTAAAACCCTTGTCGCATTTGTCGTCATTATGGATATCAAAAGGTTTATGTGGCTCCTGGTGACTTTATATAGGTGAGCATCTGAAAAGGTCACCAGACAGTGGCAGTGCAGGTGGAGAAAAGCAATGCATTGGTCACCAGTAAATGTAAAGGCACATATGTATGGTCAAACAATGGACTGGTCACCAGTTAAGGTCAGGGAAAAACACAGACCGGTCACAAGACAATGTCAGTGTATGTATGGACTGACAATTGAGCGGTCGCTCGTCAATGTCAGCGCACTTATATGGACAAAAAAAATAAAAAGAGTGGTCTCAGACATTGTATTATTTTGTCCTATTATGTCAAGTGCTCTTTTGATGGCGGCGCGGGGCACCCGCAGCGGCTCCTCTTCTTGTCTGTTGTCTGTTTAAGAGGGAGGAAATTTCATATGTGCTATCATACAGCACATTTGACAATAAAGTTGTACGTGATACTTGATTGCCATGACGTGTTTGGACAGCCAACGGATTGGACGCTGGTCAACGTCAGTGCACGTATGCGCCATAAAACGGCCTGGTCGCAAGAATGTCGGGACGAAGCGGGGACTGGTCGCCCTCCAACTCCGTGGCTCATTTGCGAACGTACGCGTCGCATGTTTCGGTGGTCTTTTGCGCTCGCCAACAAGTTCCAACAGGACTATTTTCATGTCCTCGGCGCGAAACGTGTCCCCCAACACAACATCGTGTCGATGTCCTCGCCCCGTCTTCTTCTTCCTCTTCCTAAGGACAACTCAGTCTCTTTTGTCGTGTGTGTGTGTGTGTGTGTGTGTACGCGCACGTGTTGTTTCTCCTCAACACGCGCGCACACACACGCGCAGGTTGAAAGCTGTGAGAACATTTTCTTTTGGCCTCAAGGTGTGCGATCAAACCACCAACATCTCATTACGACCCTTCCCACTGCATGGGGAGTGTATATATGTGTGTGTGTGTGTGTGTGTGTGTGTGTGTGTGTGTGTATGTGCGCGGGCGCGCGCGCTGCGAACAGCTCCCCAGTGTGTGCTGGTGTATAATGGCTTTTGGAAGAGACTGTCGCTTTGTAAAGACATTTGATTGACACCTCCTGATGTCTCGGTCCAATTAGAGAGCTCCTTTGTTAGTGTACACCAGTCGCCGAGTGTGCGTGTGCGCGCGCGCAGGTGTGTGTGTGTGTGTGTGTGTGTGTGTGTGTGTGTGTGTGTGTGTGTGTCGCAGTGAGCTGCAGGAATGAATGAATAATAATAATATGCCAATTGTGTGTCTTGCTCACACACTCGGGCACTTAAAATGGTCGATTAATTAGCTGACTAAATTGCTTCTGTTTGTCAATGCAAAAAAAAAAAAAAATGACGACGACGATGATGATGATGATAAGGGACGAAGGCGGTTTACTGTGTTTACAGTTTCAGTGTCGTTTTTGTGTTGAGACACCTCACAGCTTGATTTAAACATTCGGCAAACAAAACAGACGAGGATTTTGTCGCAGAATTTTACAGGTTGTCGTCAATTGTGACATCGGGGGAAAAATAAATCGTAAGCGTCAAGTCGCAATTCAACAACAGAGACACGTTCGAACGCTTCATGAAATGCTTTTAAGGATGAGCATTCCGAACATCCACCAAACTGTTTTTTTTTTTTTTTAATATTTCAAATTCCTAGCTTGTTATTTATAATTTTCAAATTGGTCTTTCACAACAAATACATTACAACCAACACCCAAGAGCGCAAATGAATTATGACAATACACATTTGAAAAAAAAATGTCAACGTGTG